GTTGTGGTGGTTGTGGTGGTTGGTGTGGTTGTTGTTGTTGTTGTTGGTGGTGTGGTTGTTGTTGTGGTTGATGTTGTTGTTGTTGTTGTTGTTGTTGTTGTTGTTGTTGTTGTTGTTGGTGTGGTTATTGGCGTGGTTGTTGGTGTGGTCGTTGATGTTGTTGTAGTTGTTGTTGTGGTTGTTGTTGTGGTTGTTGTTGCTGTTGTTGTGGTTGGTGTGGTTGCTGTGGTTGTTGTTGTTGGTGTGGTTGGTGTGGTTGTTGTTGTTGTTGGTGGTGGTGTGGTTGTTGTTGTTGTGGTTGGTGGTGTGGTTCGTGTTGTTTGTGTGGTTGTTGTTGTTGTTGGTGTGGTTGTTGGTGTGGTTGAAGTTGTTAGTGTTGTTGGTCTGGTTGTTGTTGTTGTGGTAAGGTGGTTGTGGTTGTTGTGGTTGTGGTGGTTGTGGTTGTGGTTGTGGTCGTTGTTGTTGTGGTGATTGTGGTTGTTGTGGTGGTGGTTGTGGTTGTTGTTGTTGTTGTTGTGGTGGTGGTGGTTGTGGAGGTTGTTGCTGTGGTTGTTGTGGTGCTCGTTGTGGTTGTGGTTGTGGTGGTGGTTGTGGTTGTGGTGGTGGTTGTTGTGGTGGTTGTTGTTGTTGTTGTTGTAGTGGTGGTGGTGGTGGTGGTGGTGGTTGTGGTTGTTGTGGTGCTGGTGCTGATTGTGGTTGTGGTTGTTGTGGTTGTGGTTGTTGTTGTTGTTGTTGTCGTTGTTGTTGTTGTTGTTGTTGTTGTTGTTGTTGTTGTGGTGGTGGTGGTGGTGGTGGTGGTGGTTGTGGTGGTTGTGGTAATGGTGTTGGTTGTGGTTGTGGTTGTGGTTATGGTTGTGGTGGTTGTGGTTGTGGTGATGGCGGTTGTTGTGGTGGTGGTTGTGGTGATGATGGTTGTTGTGGTGGTGGTTTTTGTGATGGTGGTTGTTGTGGTGGTGGTTGTGGTTGTGGTCGTTGTGGTGGTGGTTGTGGTTGTGGTGGTGGTTGTGGTTGTGGTGGTGGTTGTGGTGGTTGTGGTGGTTGTTGTGGTGGTTGTGGTGGTGG